TGATGAGGGCAATGAATGTACAAATGTGCTTTACACAATTGATGCATGTATGGATTGTGATAAGAGTTGTATAAGCCCCTAATAAAATGATTTTAAAAAAGAATTATCTATATGATAGAATTATGTTTAAGAATTATCTATATGTGACCACATTGACAAAAGCAATTCAAAAGATTAGATAGGAAACTTCAAGGACAGTGAGTTTATGCTAACGAGAGAGGAACACTCAAAAATGGAGGGTGAGGATGGTAACACAACTAGAAGGATGCAATTAATGTTGCTAAATTGCATACCTAGGAAGAATTAAATTGCTGTTTTGTGGTGCATATTTTTTTAATAATAACAAAATAAGAATAAAACTGAAAGGGGGAAAAAGAGCAATCATGAAAAAGGTAAGTAGCAAATTCCCAACGATGCGATCTCCAGCTTAGTTTCTGTCACCAAGTCCATCTTTCCCAACTACCGTGCCTTCCTTTGTTGCTTCCAACTTTTGACTTCAATGGCCAGTAATTCTCAATGCACCTTGATTGCAAGTTTGATCAATTTCTGGCTGAAGTTCTTGGTAGAATTCTTCAATTTCTTCAATATTAGCCTCTGTTGTTAGTGCATACATTTGAATAATTTTTGTGTTGACTGGATTTCCTTGAGAGCAGATAGATATAATCTTATCACACCGCATTGTACTTCATGATTGATTTTGCAATGCCCTTTTTGTTATTATTCTCAGTATGGTAAATCATGATTTCTCATTCAAAGTGGCCAATGTCAGTCCATTTCAGCTCACTTATACCTAGGATATCAATCTTTATGCATTCCATTCCATTTTTGATGACTTCCAATTTTCCTGGGTTCATTCTTTTACATGCCAAGTTCTAATCATTAGAAGATTTTTACAGCAGTGTGTCCCTACCTTGAGTTATGCCCCATCAGCAAATGAAGATCCCAAAGGCTCCACTCCCACAAGCTTTTCCCGACACACATCACAGGGTCGACCCCACGGAGATAACTCAGCTCCTCAATCACATTTGACTGCCCTCAGACCTGAGGTGCCCATCCTCCATCACCATTTCAGACATCATTCGGCTTCCAGTCACTGGACCGTCGGTATCTGACAATGTGTCAAAGGCAGACCTCAGTTTTTCAGAGGCTATTTCCTCTGCAGTGGGGAGCAGAGTCCTTCTTCACGTCTGTTCTTAGCCTGAAAGCTCTGCTGTAACCCACTGTTCACTGTGGGTGACCCTGCTGGCATTTGAAACACCAGTGACATAGCTTCCAGCATCACTGCAACACAAACCACCACAGTGTGATATATTTGAACCTAGTTGATTAGAAACGCTACTTCTTAAACAGGGCAGTGTGAGGGTTTGTTGAATTAGACTAGACAGGACAGGAAAATAAAGGTCGTGGGTGTGTACCCACACAGTGTTGAGGACCAAGGAGGTATTCCAGCTTTCTGGAAGGCCAGGGCTCTGTGTCTAGGAGGCACTTCCTGTTGCCCTGCTGAGGAGGATTCAAGCAGGCCAGCATGGTGGCGGTGCTATGATATTAGAGCCAGAAGCTGAGGATTTGGCTCTTTGGAAGGAGTTTCAGTGGCAGCACAGGGTCCCAGTGTGCACTTAGAGACTCGCCCAGCGCTAAGAGGTCGGTGGGAGGGGTAGAAGCTGGTAGGGTAGCAGGGTTTGGGTAGGAAGGAAAGAAAGAGAGGGGAAGATTTATTTTGTGTCTCGATGGATTAGAACTGGGGAGATCTGGGCTTTTTACTAGGACAGGAAAAATCTGACACTATGTGCAATGCCTCTTCACTTTACCCAGGGCGGACATTTGAGACCTTCCAACAATACATCCTGGAGTCTAAGATAATGCTTTCTCCCCATGAGTTAATTATGCCAAAGTACATTTTGAATGTGGACAATTTCATTAGCACACACACTATTGTCCTTTAAGTCATTCTAAGTTACCACTAAACCCTGGTGGCAAAGTGAGTGTACTAATTTGATAACTTTAGGTCAACTTAAGGTCAGTAAGGTCACAGCCTGATGGTGCTTCTTTGGGAGTGTGGCTTTCTTATAAGGAGGACCCTGGGGAACCGTCCCCCTCTCTTGACCTTTACTCTCTGCTACTGACTCTGAAAGCTATTGGAGCCCTGCCATGTTTCTACCCACCTTGGATCCACGAGACTTTGCATGCACCAGCCTGTGATCTTCCTGCCTTAAACATCATTGCATGTGATGGTGTGAGTCTAAAGAGGGACTTATGGACTAGCATTGGACTTGTGGACTTGAGTTGGATTGGGCTGGGATGTTTTCTTGATATAGAATTACTTCTTGATATAAAGCTCTGTCACACATATGTGAGTGTTACTGGATTTGTTTCTCTAGTCAATCTGGCCTACACATTAGGCTACTAAACACAAAGTTATCCATTTGAAACCACCATTCCTCAGGAGAAAGATGGGTCTTTCTACTTCCATAAAGAGTTACAGTCTTGGAAACTCACAGAGGCAGTTCTACCCTGTCCAGTAGGGCCATCGTGAGTCAGAATCAACTCAGTGGCAGTGTTTCTTTTTGTAAGTCACAAAATAACCAAGCAATCAAGTCCCTCCAAAAGATAAATCCCCCAAAGATTTGTTTATAATGCTATGCTTGTCTTTGTTCCCATATCTTTCCAATATTTTAACTCCCTGGAAAGAGATTTCTGTGGCATGTGAGAGAAAGGCCCACAGAGAATCCCCGGTGCTCCCTCCCTAGCACTGGTCCGACCCTGAAGGAGTTGCTTGAGCTCACCTGTCATTGGCAACTGGCAGGGCAATTTCAAACTTGGCCAGGAACTGGAAGTACTGCTCTTCAGTCTGCTGTGTGAAGCCAGTGCCCATCAGCAGCATCCTGAGGTCCTCTGCCCGGATCACTCCATTCTTGGCTACAGACCTAGAGCTCTTTATGTTGAAAATCCTCTGCAGGCATTCAGACAGCCAAATGGGGTCCAGGAAGTAGAGGTTCCGCAGGCCATGGCTTGTGTCCGGGAAGTGCAAGAGCGTACCAGTTTCTATAAGGAATTTGATGGCTGCCCCGATAGGAGAAAGGGCTCAGCATCAGAGAAAGAAGTCAGAAGGGACCCTGAACTTGACACTATTTCCAAGGGCAAGTGAGCCACAATTCTTTGTGCAGCAAAGTCAACACTGTCAATATGTTCCCCAGACTGCTGCCTGAGGCTTCTCTAATGGTACCTTGGGAGCCTCTGGTAGTACAAATAGTTAATGCTATAAAGCACTCCGCTATAACTGAAAGATTTCAGGCTTGAATCCATCCAAAATTCTCTCAAAAGAAAGGCCTGCGATCTACTTCTTAAAAAGAAACCATTGAAAGCCCTATGGAACAGTTCTATTCTGACAAGCATGGGGTCCTCACAAATCAGAATCAGCTTGACAACAAATGGTTTCTTTGTTTTTAATGATACCTTGTAACTTCTCCTAAATTAGCTCATTTGATAATCAAATGAGTAACTAGCTGGAGAGGGACTGTCTGAGATTAGTATATGCCAAGGGCCAAACATGCCGCCGGCACAGGGTTCTCGCTTTCTCTCTCGCAAAGAAAAGAAATGAGGGAATGAAAAAGGAAAGGATAAAAGGGTAGAAGAAGAAAAAGAAAGGCAGGAAAACAAGCAGGAATTCTTGGTTGCCCATTAAAAAATATGTCCCATTTGTGCTCCGGGTTAAGCTAATTCTATCAGTGTAAGATTTATATTTTTCTTAAGTGCAATGACTATAACTACTTTCCAAGGGTCTTAATGCTCTGCTCACACCTGCCTGGTGGCCACCCATCTTACTCACCAGCCTGAAGGTCCTCATAGTCTTTGATGTCATTTCCTGGGGTCTGCTCCACGAGTTGGTCCAGCTGCTTGTCTGTCAAGTACTGGACAGTGTTGCTCTGGCTGCGCCAATGCTGCTCCGCCAGCACAGCTTCCTGGAGACTCAGGTAGCTCCTGGGAACCTGGGGTGACAGGTGGTCAAAGTGGAGTTCCCAGGCCAGCTCCGATAGAGTTGGTCCCTCCTCAGCCATGGCCCAAGACCTGAGTAGATTGACCTTTGCAGCCTTTCGCCATAACCTCCCCCAAGAAACTGCCCACACTTGGGAACCCAGCTTTATGATGCATGTTTGCTTGTTTTTTAATCATTTTATTGGGGGCTCATATAACGCTTATCATAATCCATACATACATCAATTGTGTAAAGCACATTTGTACATTCGTTGCCCTCATCATTCTCAAAACATTTGCTCTCCA